CCCAAGAAAATGCTGCATGCTCCTGCCCCAGGTGGTGCTGGGGTGATCCGTACGGCATGATCCGTAATCATCCCTTTGTCTGACAACTGCCATCAGGAGCAGCTCCTGCTGTCTTAGTGATTCGCCATGAAAACCCAGCTTATCATGGGCCAAACTGTGAGGGGATGGCGATTTGTTTGGTTTCTGAAGAAATATGAAAATGATAAATTCTTTTAGGGTTGTCATTAATTGTGTGTGCCCTCTAAACCTTAGCTTTGCAAATGTTTCCAGTGCATTTTTAATGGAGTAATAGCACTTGTATAAAAGGTTATGCTGATTTTTAAACTTCCCGTTCAAAAGACTGCATGAACGTGAAATATCTAAGAAATATGCACACAGTAACCTTTTCATAATCATAAATAGGCTTGTAACTTCTGGAGTCTTTTGGAAGTTCATGGCCATCACCTTAATATATTCTCCAAATGACAATAGTTTTCAAGGACAGTTTCTTTATATGTTATCATCATTTTATGTTAATGAAGACTTCTTTGGGACTTAGTCGTTCTTGGTATTTTGGAGCAAATCAAACAAACTTTCCTTTTGTATTCTCTGAGCTCTAGTCCCCAGCTTTTATGGCCAAATTGAATGCAATTTTGCTGTAGGATGTTCACTGCCTTTTGTAGTTGGTCTGTTTTCCTTATTTGTATAACAATCTGTGAATTAGTTATGTAAAGCCAACTTGCTTTCGCAGTTCCTTCCTAGAGTGATTATGAACTATTTATTTTTTATGGACAAAACTTAGGAATCCAGAGTCACTGAAGCTGTTACTCTCTGAGGCCAGTGGTTGGACTCTACTAGCTCACGTATTTCAGTGGCAGATGATGCGCAGAACCTGCTTCTAGCTGGGACGAAGATCTTGGCGTGTCCCCTGGCCATATGTCCTAATATTTGGAAAATCCAGTGTCAGAAGCATATGCCGGGTGCAGGAACAGCTGCTTGGCCAGGCTCCGCAGCAGCAGTGTGCAACCGGCTCTCGTCTTCAGAAGAAAACACAGGCGGTTGTTGAGGTGGAGGATTGCAGGAACCATGGGGATAATTAGAGGAGAAGCCTGTTCGTCTCATGAGAATATCTAGTGATAGCAAATAACAAGCACAAATTGGACCTTCTGGTCAAGGAGAGCTTCATTTTAAAGAATATCTTACCGAGAGCACAGTCCACGCTCAGACCTTCAGGAAAGTTCGACATCGTTCATGTGCATCCTCGTCAATATGCTGACTAAAATGAAAATTTTTTGTATGCAAGGCAGTAATAGAAAAAAATTCCTAAAGCTTAATTTGTATGTTTAGCAACAAATGATTCTTTTCCTCCCAAATGACAATACATTTAATTGTGTGTTACTACTTTAACAAATATTATAACTGTAAAATAAACCACCCAAGTACTGAGCATAAAGTGTATAATAAATTTCCTTGCTAAGGGTAACATTGACCCACTAAATATCTCCTTAAAGCAGAAGAATATTTTAGTGAGTTAAGGCTTCATAGGGTTATGTGTATGACAGAGAGAGAGATTAATTTTTACTTCAAGAAGCTTCTGAAGTTTCTAAAATGGTGTGTTGTGTATGTTTGTCATGAATGGGCAGCAAAGGGTGTTTTATTTTCCTCCCTATCTTGACCTATCTGCTAGGCCCTAAAACTACTTTGATTTATGCTGCAGCATAAACCATTTTTTTTCTTGCTTTTTTCGTGAGGAATCAACTTTTTTTTGTTGTTCTCTAAGACTTATTTGGGGAAGAAGAATGCAGTGTCAAATAAGATAGGATGAGGGCCAGATAAGAACAACTCTTATCTCAAATTCATTACTCTTGATGTTGGAAAATTCAGCTATCCTACAGCAAAAGCAGGCAGTTGTTTTTCATCTGCTGAGATTATTCTTGAACTACAGGCGGAGACACCTGAAAAGTCCTTCCTTGGTTTCTGGCAGAGAAAGTCTCAGTGCTAGCCAGGTCCAGGCTTGGGCTGTCCCTGTGAAAAGTGCAGAGGACGGTAGTGACATGCATGCAGTTGTCTTTGTCTGCCTTTCGCCTGCATCTATCAGTCCGTCCTTCCCAAGGCAGCAGTCCTGCTCCCAGTCCATCCATGCCTTGGGCCCAGAGAGAGAAAAAGAGAGACAAAATGTCTGGCAAAAAACGAAGGAATTTTATCCTACCAATTTCCAAGGCAGCCAAAAATGAGAGAACACAGGGAGGCCCTGGGAGTAGGAGGAACTGATGGAGCCCAGATTTCTCTGATGAAGACTTCTACTCTAACTTGTCTTGATTTTTGTTGCTCTTCTGCCATTCGGAGGGAGAGGACCCATCCAACCTTACCACCATGGCTTCTCCTTTCACCAAACTGCGGTTTTGGTAGAGGTGCCGAGGTTTCTCATCACTGTGGTTTCCCTGGAGCAGAGTAAGGAGCAGGAGCAGCTCTCTGTTGTCCCTCCCATGTGGTCTGGGTGTTGAGTGGCCGCAGGGCCTGCCCAGGGCGGGTAAATCGCGGGCATGCAGAGTTCACTGCTCGGAGAGGAGGACGA